TGTGTCGACCGCAACATTCGGCTTTGTGTTGTCTGCAAACTCGCTGAGGGTGCGCTCGATCCCACTGTCTGTCATTGATCTCCATCTGGACATTGAGCCGTTGACCAATGTTGAACTGGACTACAAGAAATTTAAAAGTTGAACCCAAGAAGGGGTTTAGAGCTTTCCTGCTTTGCCTTCATAGTGGCCTGAGTGCCAAAGGCAATGGTAGGGTTTGGAAGAAGCGATGGCCAAAACAGATGCAGAAGCCTGATGTAGGAATGGTGTGAAATGCAGCTGGAAACAGTGGTCTGATGCACTCTGGAGCTTGCAAGATCAATGAATTTGCAAGGTGCTGGGGTGTTTGTCATCATTTTTTCTCTCCTATTCTTGTGTCCTGCAGGCCACAGCCCCTTTCTTGCACATAGGAGCACTTGTGGCGGTCACGGCCCTGTCGTGGTTAATAGCGGGGCAGTTTGCACGAACGGAGAAAGCCAGTGAGTACCACTCGTGTCCTTGCGTGGTGGTCAGGGGCTGGTGGGTGGCTGTTTGGGGGGGGGAGGGGTGTTGGGTCCTCCTGTTGGCAGGAGGCAGTGCTGGTTCCTTCCCTGGGCTCAGCAGCCTCCAGCTCAGCCACGCTGGGGAGGTGGATGCTCTCCTAGAGTAACCTGACTGAAACTGGAGTGGGTGAATCTGGTCTGGGGATGCATCCAGATCCCACAGCTGCTGCTTTGTGGTCGGAAGCGCACCGGGGTTGGAGGTGAAAGGGCTGTTATCAATGATGCAATGAATAAAACCATCCAGATTTCCATCAATCTGCTTTAGAAAACATAAATGCACCCTCCGCAGCTAACGCGCAGTGTTCTTCTCTGGATTTTATAAGCACTTCTCCCTTCCCCCATCTCCTTGGCTCTTGTTCACCTGCATTTCTAGGTGGATCTGGCTTTTGAAAGCCTTCACGGACTTGTTGCTTGTGATGCAGTAGCACCCAGAGGGCTCAGTAGAGATCTGGTCCCCTGATGGTTAGGTGCTTCCTTAAATGCACGTTGAGAACATGGTCAAAGGTCTAAGGGAGCAGAGTGGTGAAGGACACACTGAACCCAGTTCTTCTTGTTGATGGTCCTGTCCACTGAAAGAAGCTCTTCTGTGCATCTCCCCTGTCCCACCTCGTGGCCAGGTGTCTCCCAAGCCTGAGCTGTTCCTCCAGGTTTTCTTGTGAAATAATTTGATCCTTTTGTGCCCTCAGAAGTGTTTTTCTTCAGGGTGTCCATGGATGTTCTCAGACATTTGTGCCAGCTCCAGAAAAATTATTTTAATTGGTATTTAACCTGCAGCAAAATACAAGCCCTGGAAGGATTTGGCAGCACTTGCGAAAGACTTCCAAGAAGTGGGAGTTAAGAATGAGGAAACGGTGTCTGAAGATGGAAAGATTTTGATATCCAGAGAGACCTTTCAAAGAAAGAATTGCTCTGCCTTAATTTATAAATATGCCAATAAAGCTGTACCTGGTTCTTCTTAAATATGTCCTAGCATGTAATTAGGCTGCCAGTTGAGGGAGGATTTGTGGTTACGCCTAGAGCAGAGACTGCATGTGCTTCTTCTGAATTCCTCATACTTTTTCTCTTGCAGCTGAGTTCCCTGAAAATGGCTTTTTTGTTGTTTTTAAAAAGCCAGGGAGCTGTTTTCCTTCTCTTTTTCTGCTCCTGGGTTGGGGGTTTTTGTTTGTTTTTAAGGAAAAACATTCATCTCTTCTGTACCATTGGATCTTGAAGTTATGTCAGGGTCATTTTACTTGTGAAAGGTATCTTACCTGGAGGAGTTTACAGACTTTTTGGTACAGGTATGTTTGACCTGATGGTGTTAAAAATGGAAGAGAAGAACTGAAATCTCTGTGAGAACCTACAGTCGCTTGTAATGGGAAAATAAGATTTCACTCACTAATAATAATCTTTTGGAAATAAGTGGTGCAGCTGCAGTCATTGCTGCAACAATCTGTTCTTGTAATTTTTGAGGCATGTGACAACGTTCAGCAACTGGCTTTTTTACTGAGCAAATTTACACTTTTTTTTTGTTGTTCCCCCTATGGTACTTTTTTCAAACCTGGAGAATAGAAGTTTTTTGAATAGCTACAGTGTTTTAAAAGGTAGTAGCTTGTTTTCAAAGCTTGCTTCTGAGGTCAGAGAGAAACCGTTGGACTCAAAGCAGCCCTGCAAGGCTTGGGTAGCAAACGGCAGTGTGAGAAACA